GAGTTGTCAATTCATGGTGTGATAAAAAATAGTTTCTCATTAAATAGTACTCCTATCTTCGTTCATAAGGATAGGTGTAACATTTATCGCACGAATGAGAAACTATTTTTTATCACACCATGAATTGACAACTCATTGAATGAGGCCAACTGGATAAACAGTATTCCTATCTTCTGTCCAAAGCACCATGAATTGACAACTCATTGAATGAGGCCAACTGGATAAACAGTATTCCTATCTTTTGTCCAAAGCACCATGAATTGACAACTCATTGAATGAGGCCAACTGGATACTACGGATTACTCGGCATAAATGACAACTACTCCTGTAAAATTAATGTTCAGATTCTGTTTTTTATTACGGAGTACTCCCTCCCTCCCGCTAACGATGAGACAAGAGGGAGTGACAGCAAATTAATAAAAAGTGGTTTATGTGGTTGATATTGAATTGAATAAGAATAAAGTGAGAATGATTTAGAACCACACAACTTTGCTAAATTTGGTATGGGACAATCTTAGTGGGACGGACCGATAACGTAAAACGGGACAATCATAGCGGGACAGAGGTAGTATTAGACTTATCAATCAAACATATGAGTATCAAATACGGAGTACCTAATTTCCACTTTATTGTTGAATTATGTAATAATACAAAAAAGGATGATTGAAGTTACTTTTACTGAAGTTACTGAAAATGATTGAATTAGTTATTTGTACATATAAATAGTTACATATCTTTTGCTAAAATAAAAATTATTTACAAAATGTTTACCACTGACTAGAGTAGTACAAGTAATAAAATCATAGTGTCTAATGTTCAAGTTTTAAACTTAAATTATCATGACATTAGATTGTAATAATCATTGGTCATATTTGTGTAATATAAATAAGTTTTATTTTAGTACACTCTCCCAAAGAAATTCCTATTTGACATACACACATATTTATGTAAGGTGAAGTCTTGGTTTGACTTTGCAAGTATACCCTTACTTTATGTCAAATTAAACAAAAAGTAGGTAAAAAGTAAGAGTAGTTGTGATTTTTTGGTTAAAGTAATTTCCTTTTATAGAAATGAGAATTTCTTTTTGGAACATCCAAAAAAGGAAAGTGAGAACTTCTTTGCGGGAGGGAGGTAGTAATATTCTTTAAAAACCTCTTGTACATAAATAAATTTTCTTTATTTTATTAATAAAATATATTTTAAATGTAGTTTATTTTTAAATCAACGGAATCAACCGATTTACCTAATTAACCGTAATTTCATAAATTTCAACAAAATTGGCGATTTTGATATTTCCAAACGAGCCCGTAGTCTACGAAGCTTTATTGTACTACGTATAATACTCCGTATAAAAGTTTAGAAATTGAAACATGTTAACTGCTTCAAGACCAATACGATTATTTCAAATAAAAAAGGACCAATTCGCAGGTAGTAAGAAAAATATGGAATATTATCAGGCATGTCCAAATATTTTTGTTTCAATACACTAATAGTATTAGGATAATAAGTACATAATATATTACTTATAAAATAAATAATCGAAAGGAGTAGACATAATCTAAAGAATGGATTATACTACGTAATATACTCCGTAAGACATAAAATTAGTTTCACGATATCTGTGAAGTTCCACAGCCAACATGATTGGAGATGAAATATGATGGAAATGATGTTGTCACAAGCTTTTGCATGGTGATGCGGACGTGGAATCGTGGATGATGGGTGTGGAGCTATGTCACAAGGATTGTACATTTTTAATTACATTCAACATCATATTTAACCCATTACCAAAAATCAAATTCAATTAGACAAAATAATTGAGTGTTCTAGCTAGTTTTATTTTTCTTGTTTTTCAAATTTAGATTAGAAATTTAATTATATCTTTACATTTTAGGATGTTTTTACTTGCGCCGTAATTTGCTAGTCTGGTATAGTCTAGTCTGATAAGGTCTGGTCCGGTCTGAATTGGTCTAGTTTGATCTAGTTATTTTTTTATAACTACCCAAGTCTGATCTGGTCTGATCTAGTCTGGTTTTGTCTGGGACAAATTACAAACCCAATAAAAACATCCTTACACACAATTACGTTTTTGTACGAATAGAATATTTAGAAGAACTTAATATTGATATATAATTAATCTTAATTGTTATTAAGATAGTTTCCATAAAAAAAATTGTTATTGAGATAGTTGATATACATCATACTAAATAAATAATGATATATACAATTAGTTTACATGACTGACAACTTAGAGGCCGCTTGGTGATACCCAAATCTGCTACATTGGTTGTTTTTGCTGAAAGTTTTGAATTTCAGACTGAAGTGATTGGATTGATTGATTATGTTTGTTCAAGAAAAAATTTATATTTTAAACATATTTTATTAATTGAATAAGGAAAAAATTATATGAAGAAATAGTTAAAATGATGTTTTACAACAACTTCATCCAAAAGAGAAAAAAAGGAACTTCAACATTATTTTTTCTTATTATTACACAATTAAGCACGTGAAATCAAAAATTATTATTTGGTTAAAAAGCTGACTGATAAGCCGAAATACATGGTTATCAAACACGCTCTTAAAATTATATGTAGTGATTTTTATACTAGTTAATTCACGTTAAGGTGACCTTAATTTATGCTAATCTGAGACTACATTTATACTCCGTATTACGAATTGATATCTAGGTGAACATTTTAATTTGGGAAAACTACCAAATAAGTCCTCGAACTTTCATAAAAAGTGTAAATAAACCCTTATATAGGAGGCTCTATCCTCAATGGCGGATCTAGGATTCGGAAGTATTGGGAGCAGAGCAAAAATGACGTGCATGAAGAAAAACCCGAATTTGTGGTGTTTACACGAGAATAGCAAAATATACCAGAATAGTAAAAATTTGTAACAATAGCCAAAAAACGTGAAAAGTGAATCATAGTTGCTCTCTTCTAGTTTTCATCTTTTGAGAGATCTATTATAGCACACCCAAATTGATTTCTTGGGCCAGATAATTGAAAGACTACTTCCATCCACTTTTCGTTAGTCATTTTTTACTTTTCCAATAAAAAGTGATAAATTTGATCAATTATTTTAAATAATATATGTATGCGAATTTTAATAATTTTACACTTTTACGATACTAATTTTGACAAATAAAATTTTCATATCATTTTTATATTATAAATACTTCGGTATTTAAATATATAATTGAGTTTTTTCCATTTTCAATCCTCCAACTATCGTGTTATTGACACTTTTGATACTCAACTTTTAACTTTTCCAATCTAGACCTCGATTATTGTGTTAGAGACACTTTTAATCTTTGACTTTAAATTTTTCACATTTAATCTCTTGAATATTATCCAATATCGAATTTTGGTCCATTCTCTACTTCTTTCTCTACTTTTTCCACTCTTCGTCGGTTCTAGAATTCCCTCGATTTCCCTATTACAAAATCGGAAGTACGCGGTATTATGTTAGGCAGTTCGGGGTATGGGTTAGTCCGTTAGTGGGTTATCTTATTTTATTTGGCTTTACTAGATTTGGGGGCATTTAATTTTTTTTATTGAGGACATTAATATGAGCTGAACTTTTCGCTATCCCAATACTATCTCCTTCCCTTAAAACTTTACCAAAGTTGATCAGCACGGAGAATATTAAAATAAAAACTGTGTGGTTTAGGTTTGTGCAGAGAATAGAGAAATAACACAAACCACAAAATAATTGATTAAAAATGAAAGTGACAAAGTTTTTTGGCACGTCCCAAAAAGAAAAGATGACAAAGTTTTAAGGGACGGGAGGGAGTATAAGAGATGATCGGCAGTTTATTGGGGGCAGCTGCCCCCCATACGGCCATACCTAGGCTGTGCATCCGCCTCTATCTGTCTAGCCGTCGCCATTTGGGGCGATTTTCAATGGAATATTTTGATGAAATTTTTTGAACATCTTCTTCATTATGTCTAGTTTATTCATACCAAATTTGAGCTAAAAATTCAATCTGGAAGGCAGTCAAATAAATTTTAGAAGATAAATTCACAGTTTGAAAGCGCATCATATTCTAAAAAATCATTTGACTGCCTTTTCTATTGAATTTTTAGCTGAAATTTGGTATGAGTACACTAGACTTAAAGAAGAAGATGATTAAAAAATTTCATCAAAAACTTTCAGCGTAAACTGTCCCAAATGGCGACAGCCGGACAAAGGTGTAACACCCCCGAATTTCCTTTCCCAAAATAGTTCTTCGATTATAAATTGTTAATAAGAAATAAACATTCAAAAATTATGCAGCGGAATATAACAATATCGAATATGGGTGTGTCACTACCACATTCAAAAACTATCCACCATTATAATATAAGTTCAATAAAATTAAAGAGTTTCTAATTTATTTATTTAAAATAACATTATACATTATTTTTATTTCTAGGTTTTCTAAGCAACGCTCTCGAAGTTCGTCATTCGTCATAATCATCACCTGAAAACATTCATAGAGAAAAGAGAACAAAAAGAAACTAAAATTAGCGTTCGCTAAGTAAGATTCCACCCAACCCCGTAAAATAATACAGTTTGGAGAAAAATATATTTTTTGTATGTATGCAAACTATAGATTGAAATATTACAATTTATAATTCAAATAATTACAATAATAACAAATACAACCTTAAAAAATAATCCAATGTCTCATATCATGTGTATACATTAGAAAAATAGTAAGAATTCTAAATTTGGGTTTTCTCCACAAATCCTAGTTTCTTTTAAAGATGAGCGAAACTCAAGATTTCTTGAGCCCAATGAGTTGTTGTTATTTACAACTCATCCCGGAATTCCGGCTCCCATCGACCACCTGTTGGAAGTTGAACTTCTACCTTAAGTGTGCACACCCCCTTAAAGGGATTGCATGCCCTCCGGGTAGTAAGAAGCCCAAGTAGCCCAGGTAGTTTGTACCAGCTACTCCTCAAATGGATATACGGTGAGAATAATTACCAGGCTTAGCCATAATGGTAGCCCTGACAGATATATATAAAGAGAATAAATGTCATAATTACAATAAGAGTCCCCAACAATAAATAAATAAAAAATCTACTCTATTACACCCCCTCAAGCTGTGCAGGTGGAACAATGCGCAGATTGTCACGAAGAAGAACAAATTGTTGGGGAGACAAACACTTAGTAAAAATATCTACCAGCTGAGCCTGAGTAGGAACATATTTCACACGCAGATCTCTATGAGTCACCCGTTCACGAACAAAATGATAGTCTATATTAATATGTTTACTGCGCGCATGATGAATCGAATTAACTGAAAGATATGATGCAGAAATAGTATCACAGTAAAGCATAGTAGGGTCACGAATGGGGAATCCCAACTCAAAAAACACTGAGCGAACATGAAGAGTATCCTGAATGATGAATGCAACAGCTCGATATTCAGCCTCAGTGGAAGATCTGGAAACAGTAGCCTGCTTCTTGGAACGCCAGGAAATGAGATTAGGTCCTAGAAAAATAGCATAGCCTGAAGTAGAACGACCAGTATCAGGGCATCCAGCCCAGTCAACGTCTGAATAAGCAATAAGAGCTGGGCGAACACAAGAGGCCTGTAGAAAAAGTCCATGCGTGGAGGTGCCCTGTAGATACCTGAAAATGCACTTAAGAGCTAACATATGTGAAGTACGTGGGGCATGCATAAATTGAAAAACCAAGTGTACAACAAAAGTAATATGTGACCTAGTCAAAGTTAAATACTGTAAGGCACCTACCATACTCATGTACTCCGTGGCATCTGCAAGAAGCTCCCCATCAGTGAGAGAGAGTTTGGTGCGACTCGGAAGAGGAGAGCGAACAGGTTTTAAGGTATGGAAGTGAAAACGAAGAAGTAGATCAGATATGTACTTATTCTGGGAAAGAAATAAACGGGACGAAGTCCGAGTCGCATGAATACCCAGGAAAAAATGCAAATCCGCCAAATCCTTCATGGCATAACATTTAGCAAGAAGGGATAAAAAATGAGAAACGAGTTTCGAGGAATTGCCTGTGACTATAATATCATCAACATATAACAGAAGATAAATAATATCAGACTGACGTCGAAACATAAAAAGAGAATTATCTGACCGGCTGCATGCAAACCCATGAGAAAGAAGAAAGTTACTAAAGCGATGAAACCAAGCACGTGGTGTCTGTTTAAGACCATAAATAGCTTTATGAAGACGACACAACTGATGAGGAAACTGGGGATGAACAAAACCTGGTGGCTGATGCATATATACCTCCTCCGTAAGGTGACCATGAAGAAAAGCATTTTTGACGTCTAGTTGACGGATGGGCCAACCAAACGATACTGCTAAGGTAAGAACAATACGAACAGTAGTGAGTTTAACAACAGGGCTAAAAGTCTCAGTAAAATCAATACCTGCCTGCTGATTAAACCCCTGTGCAACCAAGCGAGCCTTATATCGATCAACAGACCCATCAGGCAGATACTTAGTCTTATAAATCCATTTAGACCCAACCACATTATTATCAGCATCAAATGGAACTAAATCCCAATTATGATTAGAGATAAGAGCATTAAATTTTTCTTCCATAGCAGCTCTCCACTTAAAATGTTTATTTGCAACAGAAAAACAAGTGGGATCAGGTGTGTGAACAACTGTGCTTAAATTAAAAATGGTTTTGGGTTTAAAAATCCCGGACTTGGAGCGGGTTTGCATTGGATGAAGATTCACAACGGGAGAACTCTGAGGAACCGTGGTAGTAGGCGCAACCGAAGATGGGGGATGGTTGGAGGGGACTGACAGGCTGTCGGTTATGGTGCAGGGGGAGGGGCTGTCATAGGGCGGGCTGTGATCTGGGACAGAAGCAGCAGGGCTGCTTTGTTCCTGCGGGGTGCTGGGAGTAGGGGGCGAAGGGTCAGAGGGAGCAGGCAGTGCAGGGATAGTCAAGGTTTGGGAAGGGAAAATAGATGAGGACTGGTCACGGCTGGGGGAAAAATTAAGGAAGTAGGAGAAGATGCAGAAGAAGAGGACACTGTGGAACCGGCAAGAACAGAATACGGAAAAATATTTTCTAAAAATCGGACATTTCTGCTAGTGTACACACGACCAGACACGGGATCAAAACAACGGTATCCTTTATATTCAGGAGCATATCCCAAGAAAATGCATTGAACAGATCTCGGATCCAACTTATTTGCAGAAGAGGCAGTAAAATTGGGAAAACATGCACATCCAAAAACACGAAAAACAGACGTATCAGGTTTCCTATTGAAAAGTTTTTTAAAAGGGAGACAAACCATGTAGAGTAGGAGAGGGTATTCGATTAATGATAAAAGTAGCAGTAAGCACGGCATCCACCCAAAAATTAGCAGGCAAGCTAGCAGCAATAAGCATAGTGCGAGCTAATTCAAGTAAATGTTGATGCTTACGCTCAACAACACCATTTCGTTGAGGAGTTTCAGGACATGATTTTTGAAAAATAATGTCATTAGCTTTAAAAGAATTTCACAAATTAAAATTGTCAAACTCACCCCTCCATCACTCTGAAAGATCTTGATTTTGCGGTCAAGTAAATTTTCAAACATTAATTTAAAATGTTGAAAATGAGTAGTAACCTCAGACTTACTCCGCATAGGATAAACCCAAGTAAAACGAGAAAAATCATCTATAAAACAGACATAATATTTAAATCCTAAATGAGATAACACGGGAGATTGCCATACATCGGAATGAATTAAATATAAGGCACAAAGACTATTATGAAAAACTGTATTAAAGGGTAACCGTTGCGACTTGCCCAAACGACAAGGAATAGAATCAGAAATATTAGCAGAAGTGCCAGAAATAAAATTATTCAGTCGAAGCTGATCTAAAACACGAGACCCACAATGTCCTAATCTATTATGCCAAAGAGAAAGAGATGCCGCAGCTAAGGCAATAGGTGGCGATGTAGGTGGACGAATGGGATAAACCCTGTTATCACTGAGAGCTTGAAGAAGGACCTCCTCCGTTGTTAAATCCTTTACAAAAAAATTTATTTTTATCAAAAATCACAGCACAGTTGTTATCAGCACACAATTTTTGGATAGATAAAAGATTGTATTTAATGTTGGGCACATGCAAAATAGATTTCAAGTGAAGAGGTTTGGCAGACGAAGTTAAGACAACTTGACCAGATTTCATAACCGGGAGAGTATTTCCATTTGCTACAATAATAGAACGAGAATTAGGAGAAAAGGATTTATGAGTTAAGATACCTGAATGAGGAGTCATATGCGCAGAGGCACCTGAATCAGGATACCAAACCATCTCAGAAGCATCAGCAGCCTGAGCAGCAAGAGCGGGTGCAGCCGGTTGAACAAAGCGAGAGGAACAAGTGGAAGCGGGATGACCTGGGGCATAACAAATTTGACAAATAACCGGAGGAGGGACTGAATTTCCCTCAGCTGAAGAGGAGCCTGCATAACCACCGTTAGTAGAGAAAGTAGATAAAGCATAAGTAAAAAAATTTGACTGAACATACATACCCGCTGAACCTGGAGCCCCAAGAATGCCAGCATGCGGTGCACCCCTTGGAAAATAACCTGGTTGAGGATAACCATAACCAAACTTTGGAGGATAACCATAACCACCGCGATCACGCTGACCGCGACCACCGCGACCACGCTGACTGCGGCCACCACGTCCGCTATTTCCCCTGCCACGTGCTTGTCCACCGACCTGGTGTTGCTGCTGGCCAGCCGCGGGATGGTGCTGTCCGCCTTGTTGTTGCTGCTGCCCACCATGTGGTGGCTGCCCCCCCGGTTGAGCCTGACCCACAAAAGCTTGTGCTGGATTTAATTCCTCTTGAGCATTCATATACTGCAAGCTGCGCTCCTTCTCAACTAGTTTGGTTTGAAGGTTTTCAAAGGTAAAGCTATCCGGAAAGAGATCCACGGATGTGATAAGAGACTCATAGTCTCGACCAAGACCAAGCAAAATATGCTGAAATAACTCTCTACGAGACACCGCAGCATTGATAGCAACCAGACGATCAACAATGTCCTTAATGTCACGAAGATAATGTTCCACGGATTGATTAGAACGCTTCTTAGAATGTGTGAGTTGTCGTTTCAGTTCCATGGAACAAGCAAGGCTAGCAGACATAAAATGAGACTCCAAACGAGTCCAGATAGCAAAGGCATTTTTTAATTCACGAACTTCAATTAACACATCACGAGACAAGGTGGCAAACAACCAAGAACGCACAGTTTGATCCAGTTTTAGCCAAGAACAATAATTTGGATTAACAACCTCATGATGATAAGCATAAAAAATATAGGGAGCGGGAGCGGGAATGGAACCATCTAAAATTCCCAAAAATCCTTTTGACACCAAGAACGACTCAAATTGAGTACGCCAAGTCAAGTAATCTGCAACAACAGAAAGCTTCGTAGTAACAATATTCGTAATATTAAGTGCCGAGAAACCAATATTTTTGACTAATTCAGACAAAATAGAACCTGAAGTAGGAAGGGCACTAGACCGAGGTGCAATCGGTCCAATCGAAGCAGAAGGTGTCAATGGTGTAATTCCAGGAGCTCCGGCGAAGGTGGTACCCGCAAAGCTGGAACCAGATGGAATAGCAGGCGAGCCGGCCAACTGGAAGAACAGAGGAGCAGGGGTGGGTTGTAATTCCGGTCGGGAGACCAGGTGAAGACCGGCGGTACCCATGGTGCTTCGTCGGTCATCGGAAACAGGTGAGGCGGCGGAAAGGAAGGACCTGCGCTCGAATCCGGCCTCGAAAATCAGAGAGGAGCGCTGAACACCGAAGAGCTTGATGCACTGGTAGCCGACACAGCAGACGACGAAGAAAAGATTGGCGCAGTGGAGGTGAAGATGCTACCGGTGGTCGTACTGCTGGAGACGAAAGAAGCAGCGACGGAGGTGTTGTTTGATGCTGCAGAAGAGTCGGCCGAAGACATATTGGAGACGGGAAAATTAGGGTAGAAACCTAGGGCTCTGATACCATGTGAGAATAATTACGAGGCTTAGCCATAATGGTAGCCCTGACAGATATATATAAAGAGAGTAAATGTCATAATTACAATAAGAGTCCCCAACAATAAATAAAATCTACTCTATTATATACTCCATGAGTGACTAGAAAACTACTACTGCGACCACCAAACGACTTTTAAAGCCCTCACAAAAATACCAGAATGTCTATCGGGTATTAATAATTAAATAATCCACAAGAGTACCGAATCCACCAAAAAGTAGTAGTAGCCCCTAACCACCCCCTTCACAATTAACAGTCGTGAAGGAGACCGACACCACGAGTTTCTCTCGTGATGCCCACAATTATGAAAAGTAATTTTTATCTTTAGTACTTTCCAAAACCCAATATCTATTATAGATAGGTACAATTTCAATATTCCAAGGATATTTTATCCTTAAAGCCTGATTTCTCAAAATAGCTCAAAATAATTATGTAGGGAGAATTTGAGTTTGCACCCCATGTTTTGGGTGATATTTGACTTTGCACCCTATTTTTAAAATCATTAATGTATGCACCCCATTAGCCCAAAAATTGTGAAGGAGTGGGGTGCAAGTCAAATGGTTTTATAATGAATTGGGGTGCATACATTAAGGATTTTGAAAATAGGGTGCAAAGTCAAATATCATTCAAAACATGTGGTGCAAAGTCAAATTCTCCCTATCATGTAAATAGCTCAAAATACGAAATACAACATAAATAGCTCAAACCCAAACAACATTTGCAATCACAATTCATAATTCAAATACTCAAGCTTAATTTAATACCAAATACTCAAATAAATGCAAGTAACATCCACACATAGATTTACGAGGTAAAAATGTAGTTTTGATTGACATGGAATTTACCTTCAAATTGTGACACTTTCTACCTTCTTCTTTTTCAATCTTGGTAATAATCACGTACTGTACGTCCTCTTCCTTGCGTAGCTCAGAGATGACCGGCGATGAAAGACGGAACTTCCTCCGGTGACGGCGGACGCTTTACTTCTGTGGATACGTAGTTACTAGGGCCGTCTTTTAGGAGGTGCAATAGGCGCTTGACACCGGGGCCTACGTCTATAGGGGGCCTCCAAATATTTATTAAGTAGTACTCCCTCCGTCCTGAAAAGGTTTTCCAAATTGATTTTTCTTGGTCAATGACAATCAACTTTGACCAATGATATCTTTTAATACAAAATTATTTAGAGGGAAGATTTCAAATAAAAAGACCTCTTCTCGTGAAAAGTGCGAACAAACGCACTTTTGCATGTTTCGATTGCACTTTTGCGAGTTTATCGTGCACTTTTTCGCGGTAACGAAAAAGTGCAACATATTTACGAAATTGCCACCGTGATTTTGGTCGAATTTTGTGTATTTTTGGCTCATTTTGAGCCATTAGATGTGGAAATGAATGCCCAAGATTCATTCTCACTTTGCATGGGAAGAGAGATCTTTGTATTTGAACGATCCCCATTATTTAGAATATGAAAATTATATCAAAATATTCCTTATTAAAAATATTTTCATAAAAGTATATATTTTTTTAAATTATATACAAATATAATAACTAAAATCATTGCTCAAAGTTTGCCATCATTGACCAACAAAAGTCAATTTGGCAAGCTTTTCAGGATGGAGGTAGTATTAGTTATAGGTTGATTTTTTTAGATATTGTGTATTACTTCATATTTGTATAACTTTTAATTTTTATAAATTGAAAAATGGAACATACGAGAGTCGCATTGATAGTGTGAAGGCTATAAGATTTGAGATCGGGGACATACGAGAAGCCTTACAAGGTAACGGAAAAACACAATGATTCCAAAATTAGTAGTGAAGCCAAATCACTAGCAATGAATGAGCTTGGCAATATAATTTTGAGTTTTTAGTTGCAATAATTATTTGGTATGACATGTTATATCATGTGAACTTGGTGAGTAAGAGTTTGCAATCAAAGAC